TTCCTAAAGGGGGGTCCTCACGTAAAGCAAAATCCTAGGAAAGGGTCCTTAATTTTTTGAGGACCCTCATGCTAGGATTTTGTCAACGAAAGAACTTTTCCAAGCAAAAAGCAGAAGACCCGCTACTTAGGATCTTGCTAAGCTTATCTTAACAACAAGAGACACGATACAAAATTCTTTCTAATTCCAATTTTTTGGGTCCTAATTATTGGTCCTGGATAATTACATGAACCTTATTAATAATTAAATTTGTTTCGGGCAAATGAATTTTCGATCTAGTTGAAATTTGTTAGTGAACGGGGAATTGACTTTTATGGTATATAATAAAAATTTGCCGGCAATTTTGGCAGCGTAGCTTAACTGTTGGCAGCAGTAAACTATTTCCTTAACTTGAGCTATCTTTTATGGTGAAAAGGCAGTAAATTGAAATTACTCTCCAAAAGCGGAGGCCGTGTCTAGGCAAAGTATACCAAATGATAAAGTTGCCAAATTTTGAAATACGAAGAATGAAATTAGAGGAAACTTGGTGTACTGAAGATATTGTTAATGTACCTTTATAACTAGGAGTGTTTCCAACCACAGAAAACAGCTTATTTTTTAAAATTCTGTAATGAAAGCTACTTCGTGTTTCTCGAGAGGGCAATGAAAAATTCAAAGGAAGAATTCGAGTTAACTTTCAAGGAACAGTTCTATTTGCATTTGGTGCATGCACTTGGTGCATTTGCACTTGGTGCATTTGCACTTGGTGCATTTCTACAAAACAACAACATAGTACTGTGAGCGATTTGAATTCAACAACATAGTACTCATAGATTTGAATTTTGCTACTTATGAAAAAGTTTTTAAATTTTTCGTTTGATTTCAACTCAAAATGGATTGATAAATACTTCGAGAAAAAAATTCGTCCATGATTGAACCAACTATCAAAAAATAAAAAAACTTCCTGTGGTTCGTTTGATTATTTACCACCGATAACTTAATGAGTCTAAGTTGTATTTGCAAGGTCAATTTGATTTCCACTGGCTTGAATTTCAATATGTTGGAAAGGTAGTGAAAAAAATAAACAATGAGATTGAAAAAAAAACAGAGTAACTCCTATTGATTTAAAAGCAATTCAGGAAGTTTTAACGTCTTCGAAACAAACTAATCCAGATAATTCTAACCGAAGAAACTATTTTCTAGCTGCATGTTCTCTGTTTTTTGTTAGTTCTGATAAACCTAACTACGACAGTTTAGTTATCTTGAGACCTTATGGTGTCTTGATTAGTGTTGATAAATCTTCCTTGGACAAACATTTTAAAAAATCCAAAATTTGACAATTGCACGCTAATTTGCACGATGCGGCCGGACTTATACTCGAGTTTTACCACGATGGTTTCGCGTACTGTATCATGTTGCCCTGGAACTGCAAAACAGCTTATTGGGACATT